TTCATCATGTGCGCTCAATGGCCAAGGCCCTTGGTGATATTTTTATCATATTAATTTACTTAGCAAACACTTGATTTACTTTTGTTCTTCTTTGGCAGATTTACAGATGTAAATGTGGAAAACGTGAAAGACTTGAACCATCACATGCTCTGGGCAGAGAGATTTTCACTGGATTTGTTGTACAAGAGGTAAAAACGGAGACATGCAAGGAAGATGATTTAATCTTTTGGGAGAAGTTTCTGTATATATAAATTTAGGAAAGTTACAATAACCCTCTCCCTCATCGACAGGGGGAGAGCAGATTCTCATCATTTCCAAATGCACAGAGCGTGGTAAGAGCTGCCAGGGCCTGGCTCCTCACCACCCCATCCTGATTTAACTGGTCCAGCACAGGGCCTGGGGCAGATGTGTGTAAATCTCCCATGGCTGTCTCAGTGGGTGAGGAGGCTGGAGACGCACCCTGAAATCTGAGGCCATCGTATGCATCAGGGTCGGTTCCAAACAGAGGTAGTGAAAGCATCGAAATGTCGGTGGTGACCCTACAACAAAGAAAACTCTCCTGAACAGGAAACGTTGTGCCCATTGCAGTCTGAAACCCTGAGTTTCTTCTTTGCTGTCTTCTGTCACTGATGCCAAAGCCAACAGACCACAGAGATGACACGTGCAAATCAGACCCGAAGCACAGAGGGACGCCCTGGGCGGCAGCCTCCAGGCCGGGGCAGACTTGCTCAGCACCCCTCTCCCCGGGTCTCCCCCGAGTCTCAAGGGGCGGAATTGTATTGCCCCAGTGATACCCACAGATCATCTGCGATCCTTCCCAAACTGTACTCCGGCCTCTACACAGGCGAATAGTGTTCCGAGCTCAATAGCTTATTATCGTTTTCCTCCTTCAACTGGATTTTCTTTGCCTTTTTAGAATGTCATAAAATAAAAGAACGGAGTTAAGGAAACTCCGGGGAAGTTCGAATGAATGGGTTCAAGGGAGAGCCGCACGCATCCTCCAGGACTGGGTCTGTGTCTGCCCGAAACCGCCACTCCACCTGGTGGATGGCACCCGAAGCAAAAGGCTTTCCCTGTCAGCTACCACGGAGGCTACTTCACAGTCACACTTCCATTTTATTTATTTGTTTGTTTGTTTGTTTGGGGTACCGGGGGTGGAACTCGGGCCCTTGCGTTTGCCAGGCGGGCGGCGGAACCACTGAGCCAAATCTCCGGCCCCACGGTCACACTTTTTTATAAAACCTGCTGTGCATTTTATCTGTAGCTAAAGTGTATCACAACGTCGAAGGAATAATATCACAATCTACAAAAAGACAGCCACCATAGCCACATTTAATAGGTAGGAAAAGTAACATGTTTTGAATTAAATTGCTGCTGCTGTACAGTGGAAATAAAACCTTATTTAAAAATTGAGGACTTTTGTGTGCTTGTACACCGTGGAGCGTGTTCAGTAATACCTCGGTCCAGTAATATTTTGCTTCCGTTCATGAACTCTGCGTCAGGTGACGCGTATGGCCAGGAGCGCGGCTGCCTTCCTCGCATCAGGGAACGGACTCAATTCGTGAACCGAGGCGTGGCTGTGTTTCTGAAGTAGAATCTTGGCTACAGCACACTAAAACGGTCTTCAAAGTGGGATGTGTAGACCCTGAACCAGTGAGCCCAGCTGTTCAAAGAAGGAGTAGAAGCAGGAACAGATGCAATTCCCACGCAACCAAGACTGGCGTGAATTCATGGACCCCGCGCTTCGGGAATCCATCTCCTCTTCATCACAGTATAGTCCCAAAGGGTGTCGACTCGCTGGGCCCCCACCACATCCGATGAGAGCCAGACCTGTGGGCCAGAAATGTGAAAACTCCGGGTACCTCAGTACGATACAGGGGCTTCAGACCGTGGAGCCTAAGTGGACAAAGACCCCAGGGGCTGCCACGTGGTACTGTGTTCGAATCCAGTCTGGAGAACACCAGCCAGTCCCCCGCAGCGCCCTCACCTGCCAGCAGGAGAGGAACAGGGAGGTTCTGGGGAGTTACCGTCCCTTGTGCACACTGACCAGCTGCTTATTTTCTACTCGAGCAGCATTTCCATGGGCACCTCATTCCTGTCTGGAAAGGGGTTTCTCTCTCCAGCTTGCAGGGTCGCAGGCAGCGACCCTTGCATGGGGCTCAGGAGTCGGTGGAACCTCTGTTTGCAACCAATTCGGTTTGCGACCGGAATCGTGGAAAGAATTAAGTCTGTGAGCTGATGCACCACAGTGGTTGCTCGTTCACCCTGGATCCGTGTATGCAGCACAAGTGGTCAGCAGCCCCGCTGTGCAGTGGGGGGCGTGGGACACCTAACAGGAGGCTGTGCGAGCCACTGCCCGCCTCCACTCTGTGCCGTCCGGGAAGAGGGGCACGGACCATGTGATAGCACCGCCTCCTTTTTAATTTTGTGACGGTCACCAGTCCACAACGACCCCATTCATGGTGGGGAGCTGGTACAGGTACAGAGCGCAGCTAAATTCTGTATTGTTCCCCTTCCCCTGCAGCTCCTTTTAAAATTAAAAAAAAAAAAAATGTTTTTGCCAGCATCAGATGTATTTATTTATTTATTTATTTCCGAAGTCCTTATCAAGGTAGGTTTTATGAACACAGATTAACAACCAGTCTAAGAGGGCAAAAAAAGTATGTAAAACACATGAAACAATTACACTAAATCAAGGTGCACCTTTGGACACCTTGTCTGTGCTCTGTTTTATTAACTTTTTACTCTCCCTTTTTTCCCCTATTATCTGTTTCTTACTTTAAACTATATTTATAAGCTGGGGTTTTCACATGCAATATTTGGCTTGTGCCTCTGTTTTACTTCACTAACGTAACAGCCTCGAGGCGCATCCATTTTCCTACAAATGACTAGAGTTCATCCTTCTTTATGGCAGAGTAGGTACTCCGTGGAGTATAAATACCACATTTTTGTTATCCGCTCATGTGCCGATGGGTATATAGGCTGCTTCCAAGACTTAGCTATTATGAATCGTGCTGCTATAAACATAGTTGTGCATTTATCACTGCAACGTGATGGTTTTAACTCTTCAAGGAAGATACCTAGATGGGGAATATCTTGGTCAAATGAAATTTTTAGTTTTAGTTTTTTGAGGAATCTCCATATTGATTTATGCCAATTTATGCTCCCACCAGAAATGAAACAGTGTTCCCTTTCCCCTGTGGCCTCTCCAGCATTTATGACTGGCTGATTTCTTAATGATAGCTATTCTTTCTAGAATAAGATTGAATCTCAGTGTTGTTTTATTGGTTTTGGCTTTTTTTTTTTTTTTTTTTTTTTTTGAGACAAAGTCTCACTGTGTAGCCCAAGCTGGCCTCAAACCTAAGGCAATCCCCCTCCGTCAGCCTCCCAAGCACAGGGATTGCAGGTGTGAGCCACCACACTCCACCCTCAGTGTTGTTTTAATTTACATTTCTCAAATGGCCAGTGATGCCGGATTTTTTGATGTACAGTATTTATTGATCATTTCCACTTCTTCATCGGAGAAGGGCCTGTTCACTTCAGATGCCTCTTTTTTATTGAGTCTATAAATTTGGGAGTTCTAGTTTTTTTTTAGTTCTTTATGTACTCTAGATATTAGTCCTTTGAGGAGTAGTTGGCAAAATTTTCTCCATTCTGTAGGTTGTCTCTTCACTGTTGGTGGTTTCCTTTGCTGGGCAGAAGGTTATGATTTGATGAGAGCCCAGTTGTTCATTCTTGGTAGTATTTCTTGCCCAAGGAGGGTTCTGTTCAGGAATTCCTTGCCTATGCCTGTGTTATCAAGCGTCTTACCTGTTGTCTGTTCCAGCAGCTTAAATGTTTCTGTCTCTATATTTAGATCTTTGTCAGTTTAATGTTTTGTTTGTACTTAATCCAACTAGACACACAGATCTTACAAAACGTACCTAACGCTCAGCCCCCTCCAACACACAGACCAGGGTGTCGTCCAGTGAATGCAGCCTGCTTTAGGGTGGGAGTTGCCAGCATGAAATCCTTCGCCACCCCTCAGACCCAGTGATGTGAGAGGAAAAGGTGTTCAAGATCAGTAGTCCGAAAACAACCACACAAAAATGTAAACCTGGGAAATAAGCAGAAGACTCACTAGTTCCTTGGACAGTAAACCCAAGAGTGGAGCCGGACACGGGAACGGGGCTCCCTCGATGAAAATATGCTGACGGTCACTGAGGTGGGGACGCAGGTGTCTCGGGGCAAGCGCCCTTGGTAGCAGCACCACACACCAGGGAGTGAGACAAAGTAATTTCTTCGGGAAATGGTCACCGGAAGTGCTGCAGGGAGCTTTGGAAATGACAGAGGGTGGAGAAGGAACTCGGTCAGAGTGGCAGAAAGAGTGGAACACCCTTGCAGGCAGCTGGGCTCGCATCCCACTGAGGACTCCGGAAGGGAGGGAAGACGCATGGCCTCCCTCCGTGTCCCACCCCTTCTCCGGGAGAAGTGAGCCGGCGTGTCTGCTCGTCACCTCCTTCAGCCTGATGGAGCTCTGCTCTCACAGCTTTTACTCGCCTGCCCAGAACTTGCTCTGCACCCAGAGAACATCCTCGGGCAGGGAGGTGCAGGTGCTCGCTCTGTCTGAGAATGAGGGAACGTGTGGGCTCATCTGAAACTGACTGACACATAAGCATAGTGATTCAAGAAGGAAAAATAAGGGAACGAGATTCCTTTATCTATGGATGCTTGCAAAATCGACATTTATTTAAGATATGAGAATAGTGCTGGGTGAGACAATACGGCAGAGGATTAGTATTTCCATGGGGATCGCAAGGTATTTGACAGAGTTTAGAGAAAGATTAAACTTGTGTTGATTTGGAAGAGAGAGTAACCTGGTGTCTGTGGTGGGGGGAGGATCCCAAGACCAATCCCAGCTGGAACTGAGGTTTACAATTGGCCCCACATGACTCAGATGCCCGACAGGCTGCATTGGGGCTGACTGGTGATGAAGAACAGGAGCAGGCGGGGCAGAGCACTCAGCAGCAAGAAGAGCTTGAGCAGCTGGGGCGGCAGCAGCTGGACACACAACAGCTGGGGTGGCAGCAGGTGGTCTCACAGCAGGTGGTTTGGCAGCAGGTGGGCCTGCAGCAGCTGGACACACAGCAGCTGGGGCGGCAGCAGCTAGAAATACAGCAGCTGGGCTGGCAGCACTGGGGCCTGCAGCAGCTGGAAGTACAGCAGCTAGGGTGGCAGCAGCTGGAGATGCAGCACTGGGGCCTGCAGCAGGTGGGTTGGCAGCAGCTGGAGATGCAGCACTGGGGCCTGCAGCAGCTGGGCTGGCAGCACTGGGGCCTACAGCAGCTGGGGCAGCAGCAGGTGGTCTGGCAGCAGCTCTCCTGGCCACAGCCCTGCTTGTAGCAGACGGAGCCACAAGAGGAGTTGACCATGGTGTCAGAGGTTGGAGGTGCTGGATGGGTTTCTGAGGTGGAGGGTCTGTGAGGTTTGGGCCTCCTGTCCTGCATCCCCTTTTACACCCTGCGAATTGGTTGCCATCATTACTGGCAACATTCTTTCCTTGTTATTGTTTTCTTTTAATATACAAGCAATTATCAAATTAGACAAGTTTATATTCCTGGTAACATTCTCAAGGTGGGTGGTAAATATCACTTCCTTTTCCTGATGTGTTAGGATTCATCTGTCACCTCTTCGTGAATCATCTAGATGTATTCTCACTTTAGCTTCCCCAAAGAGATTGTCAAATGACATTCTGCATCTTGTGGTGTAGGCTCACTCTGCATAGACATCTGGTCTACCCTTTAATGACAATGGCTCCAATAGGCCCATAGTTCTTCCTGGTGATCCAGGAGAATAAATCTGCATTTTATGCTGACAAACATTTGCTATGGGTCAGGCTGACAAAGAGGGTTTAAAATACAGACCCAGAAGAAGAAAAAGGTCCTTAAAACATTTCCTTTACCCTCGTGTTGAAGAAAGGCCCATTTTAGAGACTATTTCTCGGGCAACACAGAACCATTTTCTGTGTTGTGGCAGCTCACAAAGTTATGAAGTTTTCCTTCATTTGTTTGTTTTGTAAGACAGGGTCTTGCTATATAGTTCAGGCTGGCCTTGGATTCACTGTGTAGCCCAGGCTGGCCTCAAACTTATGGCAATCCTCCTGCCTCAGCCTCCTGAGTGCTGGGATTACAGGCCTGTGCCACCATACCCAGCCAAGTTATGAAATGTTGATGTTTCTTTTTCTCCACAAACCTCTTAAAAAATTCATTTTTCTTGCTTCCTGGTGGAAGGTGAGATACAGATGGGCTTCGCTGTGAGTTTCAGTTCCCTCCACTCCTGTGTGGGGGCTGATTTTTCTTCTCATCTGACTTCCGGTCTGTCTGGCTTTAACTGGACATATTGAATCTGTTTTCTCTGTTTTCAGGACTTTCTTTCCAACCCACTTTAGATGACCCAGTGTTTTTATCTCTTTCTCCAACTTACACTCTACCATGCCATGCTGCTCTCCCTGTTGGATTACCTGGCTTTTTGGATTCCCTACACTTTCCTGCTTCCATATTGGATTTGTTATTTAGAATTCACTCACTAGTTCTTTATTTTCAAAAAAGAAGAGACAGAGAAATAGAGAGGAAGCAAGTTTCTAGATCAAAGGCCTATGCTTTTCTTTGTGAAAATATAGTAAAATCTTAAAGGTAGAAAAGATGCCTAACCCAATGGCTAGCTAAATATCTTTTGGAAAATAAGCCATGCTGCCAGTCCAACCATTGGAATGTATAGATTCCTCCACCTCTGGAAATCAAGGCAGCCCAGGGGAGGAGATAGAAATTTCTGCGCTGGTGCCACGTTCTTGTAGACATAAGCCACTTTCCACTCTGGAATGGTGGTAGGGGAGTGACTCTTGTCTCGGACCAGTGTTTCTCACTGCAACAACTGGCAACTCGATTTGGCTGATAGCCTTCCTATAAAATGTGTTCATCAAAGTATTTGGGGGTCATGAGGCTAGGGAAGAGTGACTGCACTGGACGACAGAATCACAGCTCCAAATGATTTAGGCACGCTCTGGAAAGAGACCACTTCCGACAAGGTGAAATCTCTAAAAGAGTTGTTAATGCAGCATAGTGCATGAAAGTAGAGAGGAGTCCCTGATTCTCAATTTCTTGGGAGCATTTTCTTTAGCTATCCACGTAGCCACAGTTGGGTCCTCCCTCAGCACCTTTCCAACGGGTATAATATTATCAAAATGAGTATGGGGATCTGGCATTGGGTAAAATAACAGGTTGAGACCGAAAGGAGTAGAACGAGCAATTGTACTAGAAGAGGCTGCAGCCATTTGTAATGAAAAAGACAAGTGCTTCGCCCAGTGATGACCTCAGTCTGTGTCCTCACTTTCTGTCGGCCGTGTACTCCCGTTAAACCCTAAGTAAACAACTGCATGCAAGCACTGATCCGGTCCCGTAAGGATGACACTTATGAGGAGAGCAGGGAGTTCTCCTCCTCTTCCACCCACGCGAACACATCTGGTGACTGCGTTTAATTCTGGGGTCCAGAAGGGTGAGGGTACACTGGGGTTTATGAAAAGTAAACTTCGCATGATGACGACATTCCGATCAATGGCCAACGAGTGAGAGAAGCTGGAAATTTGGCCTACAGAAGAGAAAGCCAGAGCCACACGATGGCGTTGCAGCATGAACAGCTCTTCATGAAGACTGGATACGCCCCAAATGGCTGCGAGGGGCTGATGGTGAAGATGCGAGGGACTCATAAAGAAGCGTGACTCTCACCCTGTGAAGGTGGTGATGGGACCGGTGCCCCATGGCAGCAGGTGAAGGTGTTTATCTATGAGCCAGGGTTGCTGAGGAAGCCTCTGAACCAGATGGAGGGGACAGGATGCCGTGACTTGAAGCTTTCCTTTCTGCCCTCAGGCATGTGTGAGCCTAACAAATTGAATTAGGATGAATTTATGCGCTCCTTCCTTCTGAGCCAGTTTCTGCTGCTGCCCTATCTTGGTTTCCACAACCTGGGCTCCTGTTGGGACCTCACATGGAGCTTTGTGTCGGCCCTAAATACAGCCTCTAATTGAGGTCCTGAGCTTCTCCCCTGGAGGCAGAGGCATGAAGGAACAAAAGCAGTTTCCGAACTATTGTGGGACAAAGACCCTGGTGAGCTCCATCATGGGACAAGAGAACAACTCTCCTAGTCCCAGAAGATCTTGTGTTTGGGGGGAAAATGTTGTCCATGAAGCACCCTGATGAGCAACGCCCACTTATGAGTCCATAGAGGTCACTACTTTTGCATTAATTGACGATCTTTCCTTTCTTATGTATGTGGCTGTGGTTATGTATGCGTATGTGTGTGTGAAGGGAGGATCGTATGATAAGTTGAAATTAGCTTCGGGAATGTGTCATGATTTCTCCAAGTGCTTTTTTTTCATTTTTCCTGAGCTTGACCAAGGTATAATTGACAAACAAAGTTGCATATATTTAGGGGATACAATGTGATATTTTGATATAGGCATGTATCATGAAATGATAACCACAGTTAATTAATATTTGCATCAATTCGTATCATCACCGTGTGTGTGCTGAGAATATTAAGATCTACTATTTTAGCAAATTCTAAGTATCCGACACAGTCTTACGAACTTTACTCACCACACCGTACATTAGATCCTGAGAACTCACTCCTCTTACAACTGAAAATTTTTACTCTTTGACCAACATCTCGCCATTTTCCTCACTCTGACTGCCGGGCACCTTCATTTCACCGTCCATTGCTATGAGTTCAGCAGTTTTGAGGTTCCACATAAAAGTGTGGTCTACAGCACATTTAGTATAATGTCCCCAGGCTTCATCCACGCTTTCTCAAATGATATAATTTTCTTCTTTTGTGGCTAATAATACTCCCAGTGTGTGTGCATCACATTTTCTTTATCCATTCATTAATTAATGAACCCTGGCGCTGTTTCTGTGGCACGGCTGGTACAAATAATGCTCCGGTGAACACAGGAATGCAGATTCCTATTCGAAATCCTCATTTGGTTTTCTTCAGATGCCTACACAGTAATGCAGTTGCTGGACCCTGTTGTGGTTCTATTTTTAATTTTTTGAGGAGTCCCTGTACTGTTTCACATAACAGCTAAATTTCATTCCTACCAGCAATGCAGAGGGTCCCTTCTTCTTCACGTGCTTGCCAATACTTTTTAACCTTTGACTTTAGACAATAGCCATTCTGTCATTTTCCTGGAGAGTAATGATACTGAGCACTCTTCATGGATAGCGGGCTCCCATTTTTATGTCCTCTCTCCAAAAATGCCTCTGCAGGTCCTACACCTAGTATTCATTCAGTTTCGGTTTTGCTTGTTTTACTATGAATTCCTGACATACTTTGGCTATCAACCCCATATTATATGTAAGATTTACAAATGTTTTCTCTCACTCTATAGGTTGCCTTTTCATTTTGATGACTCCTTCCTTTGATGCATAGAAAATTTTTATTTTGATAGAGTCCCATGTATTTAATTTTGCTTTGGTTGCCTGTGATTTTGGGTGTCAGATCAAAAGAAAAGAGAAAAGAAAATCATTGCCAAGACTGATATTGAGGAGCTTTTCCTCTGTATTTTCTTCTAGTAGTTTTATGGTTTCAGGCCTCACCTTGAAGTCTTTAATCAATTTTTAGCTGTTTCATGTATGGTGTGAGATAACATTCCTGTTTCATTCTCCATTCAAACTGCATATCCAGTTTTTTCCAACAACACTTATTGAAAAGACTATCCTTCCCCCATTGGGTCTAAATGGTACCCTTACCAATATTAGTTGGCCACATGTGGATGGCTTTATTTCTTTTTCTGCCTCTTCACCCTCAGCCTGTGTGTTTGCAAAGCTAAAGTGAGTTTCTTGTAGGCATATCATTGAATCTTGCTTTTTATCCTCAAAGCTTTTAATGAAAGAATTCAATATGTATATAGTTAAGGCAATTATTCATAGGCAAGGACTTTGTTATAAGAATTTCTTGACTTATGACAGTTTCACTTTTATTTTTATGTTATGGTGGTATGCAAGTGACAGCTGTTCAGTAGAATAAAACTTTGAATTTTGATCTTTTCCTGGGCTAGCAATGTGTCATACAATATTTTCTTGTGATAGTACTTATCCAAATCTATCCACATGATAAAATTGCATAGAACTACACATATACACACATGTTCACAATAGTGCATGGCAAACTGTTAAGTCTCAACAAGTTTTTAACAATGTGAATTTCTCAAGGGAACGTGGAACTTTGGAATGCTTGTTTTTCAACTTAATGTGAATCTATATTTATCTCAAAAGAGAAAAAAGTTCATGAGGCTAATTTGAGGTAAAATCGAGCATGCTTTTATCTACCAGGCACCTTAATCTCACTGGATTGTCATGAGAACCTGAATAAATGGGTACTGTGATCCTTCCTTTAGGGAAAAGCAATCACAGGTTGAGAGAATTTAAGTGATATGTCTTGTGTTTATCCATCATTGCTATAACAAAATACTTGAGGCAGTCTACTTATTTATCTCAGTCTTGAAGGCTGTATGTCCAAACAACCTTGTGCAGTCGATTGTAAGTGCCTCCTCTTTGGCTGTGTCACCTTATGCATACAGCCATGGTATGGGCATGTGTGAGAGGAAGGGACCATATCTTGATACAGGAAGCCAGAAAAGGACTGGATGGGGTCTAGCTTAGGATTTTATAAGAGTCCTCTTTCAAGAACTAACCAGGATCCCACAAGAAATACCTTACTCCCTTTCCATGGTAGGGCCCCAGTAAGTCTGAGACGTCCCTCTAGGCCCTGTAGTCCCACACAATCTCTTGCCTCCACCACCCTGGAGTCCACCCCCCCCACAAACATACACATGAACCTCTGGGAAAGAAACAACATCCAAAACCCCAGGGGTTCTCAGGCTCATAATGGTATGCAGTAGAGTTGATCTCCAATCCCATCCAATTCCAAAGTCAATGGGCCATTCTCTGTGTAGACCGCATCTGTCCAAATGCATAATGCTTTTCTAAGGACTTTTCTTGTTGATACTTGCAATCCGAAGCTCTCATGTTACGTGTTTTAGAAAAGAAAAGATGAAAGATTATCCCGTTATGCCTTCTTTTTTCTGTTTCTTCTGTGAGAATAAATTCTGCTTTGGATAAAATCTCATTTATGAATGTCACTTTAACGTTTTTGATTCTAAGGTCCCCCAATAACTGTGTTCTAAGTTACAGGAAAAAAAAGAAACACAAATATGAATAGATAATTTCGTTAATAATAATAATGAGAGATGAGCTCTGAGTATCTTTGGATGCTAAAAAAATTTTATTGGGAAACATCAAGCAATTATGAGTGGAAATGGATTCCACAGAAAAACATGAGAGAAAAAAATCTACAATTGGAACATTTGGAGACTTTTGTATTCTGAGCCAAAATTGGAAATTCTAAAGCAACTGGATACAGAATTTGGCTATAAATTCTGATTCTGCAATAATGGAATATTTCTATAAAACTGCATATAGAGGCCAGAGTCTTGGAGATGACTCCACGGATCTGCTTGAAGTTCATGGCAACGGAAAGTCCCTGCGTTCTGTTGATAGAAGCTCTCCTCCTGAGCCAAAGGATAAAGGCAGGAGGACTTGTGGATCCTGATCAGTACACTCAGCAGCAAAAACTGCCACAGTAACTGGGGTGGCAGCTGGTTGTTCTACAGAAGGTACTCTGGCAACTGGAAGGGTGGTAGCAGCTGGACACACAGCAGCTGGGGCGGCAGCAGGTGGTCCTGCAGCAGGTGGTCTGGCAGCAGCTGGGCTGGCAGCAGCTCTCCTGGCCACAGCCCTGCTTGGAGCAGACGGAGCCACAGAAGGAACTGACCATGGTGTCGGAGGTTGGAGGTGCTGGGTGGGTTTCCAAATGAGTGTATTTCTTGAATCTGGAAATCTCCTTGCCCAGATCTCCTTTTACGTCCTGCTGTGGGAGCTCTTCCTTGTTGCTATTTATCCTAATAAGTAAAGGGTTGCTGAATTAGGCAATTATGCTTAGTGTTTCCTCTTCCAAATGTATTAGGCTTTATCCCATTGACTCTTCCCACCGCACATCCTGAGTGTCTTCCTTCATGTCCATCATCTCCGTTCACATCCGAGCTAGACATTCCGAGCTAGACTCCTCCACTCGCACCTCTGCGCCTTCTTCCTGAGTCTCCCCACCACCCCTTCCTGGTGACCCCTCTAGGTATCAGGTACTCTTATCTTTTCCCACAGAGTGGAGGTCATGTCGACACTGACAGGCAGTCTGGGCGTTGCTTTTCCCTATTTGTGGGTCAGACCACATCCACAGTTTTTTGGGAGCTTTTCTTACGGTTAACAATCTACTCACCAGTTCACCAGACAACGACGTCTCAGAAGTACAGAATGTTGGCATGAAAGGCAAGGCAAGAACCCATCAGTGTGGTCCATTGTAACCAAAAATAGTGGGCCAGGCTACTACCATCTATCTCATTTCCTGGACTTAAATATGTTGACAGATTGCTTCCTTTTAAAAGGCAAATATACGTTGGAGATTAACATAGCCCTTCAGGAATCACCACTGGAAATAGTAGCAGTATTTATGTTACTGAAAACATTTATATTTTATTAAAAATAGAACAAATAGTGCAACATTGATTTTTAAATTATATGGGAAATAGATATAAATAGTATTGATTATTAAGTAATTAATAATTGGCAGTTAATTCTGGTTGGCAAGATTATAGAATTTAATTATTTCTGAATCTTTCTCTTCGGGTTTGACCTGTTATAAAATGATTGGCTTTTTTTTTCTATTAAAATTTTTAAAAATTTTAGTCATGCTTTGTAGCCTTCACTATGGCCTAGGGCTGGGGATTGGGGTGTTTTGAGGAATTTACAAGTTTGGGGGATATTGGAGTCTCTTTCTAGAGGTGATTTTTAGGTCCTTTCTGTCCTGAGCAAAGAACTGGTTGAGACAAGCACCAACGGTGGCAAAGATTAATCAAAGGTAGAAAAAGAAACAGGCTCTGCACAGCAAGTTTGGGCCAAGTAAAGTAGGAAAAGGCGCACACCCTGCAGTGTGGGCGAGGGGACACCATGCAAGAAAGAACACAGGAGCAAGAGCTGGATCGTGACTGTCCTTTTCGTACAACCCACACCTCAGGCTGATGTCAGGTCATTGAGAACCCGCTGCAGTCCCCTGGAGAAGTCCATGTGCCAGGCTCCGGGGACTGCTCTGAGCGAGCGTCCTGGGGTGTTGTCACGCCTCCTTTCCCAGCCAGTTTGAGCAACGCCTTCCCTTCCTGCCTCAGGGGCATCTCTGGCCAGCCTGATACTCAGCCATCTCCATCAGTCTGGCTGTCCTGGGCAAGGTGGTAAAGCCGGGTTAGTAAACAGCCTCATCCTAAATTCCCTGGGTGGTTCCTTCCATGACACATCCCTGGGATCCAGCGAGAGTTAAGGCCAAGAGCAACAGGGGAGCGTCAGGCCGCTGCTCCAGAGCTAAGCCTGATGCTCATTCAGAGCAGCTGGTGCTTTTCAACTACTGGTTTTTAGATACACTGGCTCTCATTCCTGCCATAAAATACTGACTCGCAAATCCGAGACTGCCCACGGGTACATTTCACAAGACAGCGTTCTACCAGGACACGTGCACTTAAACTGCTTAGCAGACAGGAAAGCACCCACGACTGATGCAGTCAGAGACCACCATACGGACAGAAGACAAACCCTAGGGCTCTTAATCTCTTATGCATGTAGAGCATAATTTGTGTTTTCTTCTGAGGCAGTCGGGGACTTAACATGATTTTGCTTAAAAAAATAAACAAAATGAAAACACTGACTCTTGGCTGAGCAGAACAAAGCTTGATCTTCACCTTGTATCTATCGCCTTTATTACAAAACTCTGGGTCCGATCCCTCGCAGCTCTAGATATAGCCACGTTAATCACTTGGAGTGTGTCTGTCAGGAAGTTGGTAAAACAATGTTAATTAGTCCTGCATTCACATAGCCCATCTTATCTTCTTTCAAGACCAAGGAAAGAGACTTACAGGGATACACAGCTACACCTGGACGACTCCACCCACTGCTCTAAACCTCTGAACACCTTGGATTCCAGCCTAGCTGCCTGAAGCTTCCTCAAGCAGTGCCAGTCATCTCAGACAGACTGAGTGGTCTCTTCCAGCAAAAGGACTTTCCCTGGGAACTACCCTGAAAAAAGCAGAGCTGAGCCCATGATCAGACTCTCGCCCACTGCAGCAAATCCATGAAACCTGGCTGTGTTCTTTTATATGAACGGGCCAGTGTGATCCTCTTCATCAGAAATGTGCCCTCCTCAGGTGTGTGAGCTCAAGTCCCTTCCCAATTTTCTTGTACTTTTGAAATGCCCAATGAATATACCTATGTCTCTCGCTGATCTGTCCTGAAATGCTCTGTATGATAAGATTCACCAATCTACTTCATGGGGAATGGGAGAACAGAGGTCCCCATTTCCTCTTTGGGAGGAAATTTCTCCCCTTAGCTTGGACCCTGTCTGGTGACACTGGGGATACCACAGCCTCCAGCAGGAGGGAAGCATGGGTTGGGGCAGCAGAGACCTGCCCTGTTCTTCACTTCTGCAGTAATTCCAGGACACAGCTACAGTTTCACATCCAAAGTTGGGCACGGAGCTGCAGCAACTGGATAGCTTAAAGATGGAAGCAGAGCGACATGTGAAACATCAACATACGGAGCAAATTGGTCCAGGGATTTAGCTCCGTGGTTCCACTGCCTGCCTGGCAAGTGCAAGGTTCCAAGTTCGATCCCAAGTACCAAAACAAAGCAAAAACAGAAAACAAAAATATATGAAGCAAATTGATCTGGGAGTCAAGAGGATAGAATTAGTAAGGCCCCAGAGAGGCAGCATGTGGGGGGCATGGGGGGCACCTCCCCAGCCCTCTCCTCCCAGCTCACTCCAGCAATGTGAACAAGTCTCCAAGCTCTGCCCAGGAAGACAATGAATACCTGGAGCTCAGGGACTCTTTCAGTTCCCACCAGGGGACCTGGCTCCTAAGTCACCCGACTCGGGGAGTGCCTAGATCTCATTCCAGGGCCCTGGGGCCAAGTGGTGGCTAGAAAGATGCAGGCAAACCCTCCCTACTCCAGCTTGCCAGCCTCCAGCCCCACAGAGTCAGCCCAAAACAGATAACAGCAGATCCCAGTTTCTCCCTGGAAGGAATCAGCTCAGATGCCATCCTGGCTGTTGTCCCAGGCTCAGGCTTCTGACAAGCCTACTTCTGGGAAACGACCAGAAAGGGAGGTTATTAATAAGATCTCTGCTCCCCCAATAAAACCAAGTCTCCACCCCCTCCCTGGAAGTTTGACCACATAATAGGCACTCTGGCTTTTACAGCTCCTATCAAAGGGAATGGCTCCCAATTCCCCAGCTGACGTGCACGGAGCTTTCCATCCGAGTCTCCGTGGACCACAGAGATCAGAGGCCGTTTTAAACAGGCCATTTCCCCCAGCTCAGTGCAGAGCGAGCAAACAAAAATACCCCGCTCCCGGGTTCTGCTCCTGCAGCAGTTCCCGCAGTCCTCTTTTGGGAGAGCCTCGGTTTCACTGTCGTGGCTGTCTGAATCAAGTGCAGCCCTTCACCTCTCATGGTTATTTTGACTTTGGGGAAGAGCCAAAAGCCCTACAGGGCCAGATCTGGTGAGTAAGGTGGATGAGGACACAGTTTCATGTTTTTCAAGCCTGTCTCTTTGTTGAAAGGCACGTGGCAGCGGCTTTCACTGCACTCGTGATCACATTGAGACAGGAGATTAAGGTGTGGCAAAACTGGCTGGGGAAGTAGATGTCACCTATTATTTATAATATCCCAGACACACGGGCTGAACAGTCCCCAAAGCCCTGCACGCGGACTTCTCGAGAGAATCTGAGCAGGTTTTCAATAGGATGCCTGGACGGACATCAGCTTGAGCTATGGGGTCCAGCACGGACTCTCAGGACCCGTGTGCAGAGGTTCTCACAGATGTCCTTCCGATCTGAGCCGTATAAAAGGACACAGACATGAAGAACTTGCTATCCTGACTTTTTTCATGGCCATCTGCCCTGCTTTCTTCAGGGTGACCTTTTATTGCTTTTTCTCCTTTCCTAGACCCCAGCTCCCTCTGCAGAGCTGATTTCTGCTACAGTCTTCACTTTCACTTTTCTCAAATAAATTTGGCCCCTGCTTTCTGCTCAATGTGTTCAACTCTTGGTTTGAGATGAGAAGAACCTGGAATCTAACTGCAGAGGGAGAAGGCAAACAGCCCGGGAATGTGGAGCCGAGCTAGCGGGTAACAATACCTCATAAAGTCTCGGGAAAGAAGCCATGGAGAACTGCTTCAGAAAGTGGAAAGGAGGGCTTAAAGCAAGGGAGGAGTCTGAGGGGGATTTTTACCATGATAATTATTTCTTACTTGAACATTCGCTGCATGCTTTGATCACCCACTGCAGACCAAAGCCTGCTGGGACCTGGCTTTTACATTTGACAAGTCCTTGGGAGCAACAAAGGAAAAAGCATTTTGTTGGGAGAGCGTGAGACAGAAGCTGTGAGGTTAAAATGGAACTTTGAAAGTTGGATTTTTTTTCTTTTTCTTTTTTGGTACTGGGGAATGGGACTCAGGGCCTCACACTTGCCTGTAAAGTTGAGATTTTTAATTTCTTCAGGCTGAGGGCCAAGCTACCACTCCCAGCCCTGGCGCTGAGGAGGCTTCAACAGAACCAGGGTTTTAACATTTTTCTGGGGCCTCTGGTGGGCCAAAGCCTGCTGACTGCTCATACGCGTGTTTCTTGGTCCCCCATACACATGAGGCGGAGAGTCTCTGCACCCATGAGCTCGGCGGACTAGCTGCCCCCCAAGCAGACCCAGCTGCTAATACCCTCACGGTGTGCTCTTCAATTATTCCACTCCTGATATCAAGAGGTTTCCAGAGTCAGACTTCCGCATGGGCCCCGGTGACAAGAGACGGGCAGGCACCGCTCACGTCCTCTGTTCAGCTCAGTGTGGGGTGAGCGGGGGAGAAGGTCAGCTCCCAGCTTGCGCCCGAGTAGAGACAAAGTGGGGCACACGCCCAGCACCCCCGCCCGCCAGCCGCTCCTTGAGGAACTGGCACTCGAGCCTCCTGGTGGCCACTGAGAACGAAGGCAGTGGCTGGGACAAGCAGGAGGGCGGAGAGGCACCCAGAGGCCCTGGCCAGGCCGCTGGGAAGCTCAGCTCTCACAGGAGGTCAGTCAGGAAAGCCTGGAAGAGAGGCTGTTTAGCCTCACCACAGAAATGGACCCCAAAAATGAATAAAAACAAAGAAGCAGGGAATTCTATGCCAAACAAAAGAGCAAGACAAATCGCCAGAAACAGACAAAAGTTAAAACATTACAAAAGTCTATAACTGTTATATTAATGCATATCTGATAGCAACACATGTAATACCGTTATTTTTACTTTGTTTTAAGTTGTGTTTTCTTAAATACAAGTTAATTTAAA